AAACAGGGAAATATTTAGTGGCCCTAGAGACCAAACTGCTTTTCTGCTTTGTGAATATATCAAAATTTATGAAAGGATAGCAGATGTTACCATCCACAATATCTCATGGGATTAATCTGCCTATGTCTTATATTTCTGTTTCAACTCATGAGTATACAATTGAACCTTGTACTGTGGTATTTCTAGAGAGACATTCCACCAAGACAATAAATAACATACAGTATTTTTTTTAATAAAATTAATTCTCAGGTTTAAACTTCCCAGCAAAGTTTACAGATTGCTGTGTTCAAAACAGATATTTCAAAAACACTGATAGAGTCAGTAAACAGACACAACAGAGTAAAGGAGTATGGGTTGTTCTTCTAGCTACCAGTCACGGCAGGACTCAAACCATTTTAATATTTAGCTATCCACCTGCCAGCATTTCGGATTATGAGATGACAATATAAAAAATAAGTATACTGGGGCTCAGTTAGGAAGAATTCAAACTAACTGCAGTTTTTCCACTGGCTTGGCTGGGGGCAGACTTAAGGAAAAATGGAAAGTTCCAGTCCAGATGCAAACTTATGGGCAAATCCAATGACCTACCCCTCAATTATCAGTACCAGATGCTTCAAGGAAAAGATGAAAAAACACTATAATGGAAAATGATTCATAATTTCTTAAACGATACATACCTTCCTCATACCTAATCCAATGGTTCTCAACTATTTTAGATTCCGTAAGGATTCAGAGTTGAGCAGCACCCCGCTTCAAAAACTAATATAAACAGATTATGAATATTACAATTGTAAATATTACATTGTTTATTAATTACATTATATTTATATACAATAAAAATATTTTAATAAGACCACACAGGTCCAGGTTCCATCTGGGAAGCAATAACTAGTGGGCCATTTTCTGTCCTTAGTTATTCCAGGGTGATCCTCCCTGAACTCTAGTCTGAGGGTCAAAGTAGACAGGGCCTGGGGATGCCTGACTAGCAGGGATGACTTGCTGGGCTGCACGCATGGAGGATGCTGAGGGGGCTCAAGGGGTAGGGGAATGCACAGGGATTAGTTGCCATTAGCATCCTTACGAAGAACTCATGGCATCCCAAGTGAGAATCACTACTGCAGTGGCTGTCTTATGTTTCAAATCATACAGATTTTTAATATATTATATAAAATTCTTTGCAATGCAATTACTCATATTAATGTCTAAAACATTCTTGACTACTGCAAAAAAATCTTACAATAGATACCATGGAAACTTGCTAATTATATAGGACAAAACAATGCGCTTCTCTTTCATATTATCTACAGCTTTTCTTCCTAAATGTTGCTGTCTCTATACAACCATTCCACACATCTCTTTCATACTCTTAATTGCTGGGGAGTATATTAGGCACGACAAGCACACAGGGGAGTGAAAAAGCCAAAGTCTGACCATCAGCCATCTCCACAAGTCTCACATTCCCTCATGATATGTGCACCAGTCTCCTGCTCCTGTTCCTTTTGCCCTAAACATTTTAATAGCTTGCTGGATGTGTCACTACTGTTCAAGATGTCATGTCACCATGTCTGTCTTTATCTGGCATGGCCATCAGACGCCCATGGCACATCCAGATGAGTGCAGTCATGCGGTATGTGGTGCTGCAAAGACAGTCTGGTGTTCTCTGCGCTGCAAGGGCATGCTGCCCAAGCATGTGCTGCTCCAGTTTTTTTTTTCCCCATGGTTTCTTTTGACCCTTGGATATCTAGGAGTTAAAAAAAACCCAAAAAACCATGGGAAAAAAAACCAAACACTGCACACTCAGGCAGCATGCATTTCTGAAAAACAGAGCTGGGCCACTAGGAACTGTCACTGCTGCAGCCCCAGAAGGCCCCTGGGACCCCAGATAAGGCTGCTGGGGCCAGCACAGTGCTGGCCCCAGCCTCCCCTACTGCCCCTGGGTAACTTGCCATGCACCAAAGCACACATGGCACAACTGTTCCCTGGAGACAAGTAGGTGTTGCACAAAGTGCACCGCTGCTACTTGTCCCTGGGAAACCAAATGTCCACGCACATCTAGACGCACCTCCAGTAGTCAAATAGTTATACTGTTTGATACCATGGAACTTTTCAAAACATCCTTAAAAAGCTTTGAAAGACAACCACACTTCCTGCTAAGCTCTAGCTCTACAGCAGTTGACTGTCGGAAAATACAGCTTTCTCCAGATTCAGTCAACTGCCCGTTGCTGGTTTTACTGAGGCTAGAGTTATATCTACTCTGTGTTGATCTGGTTCTCCAACAATTAAACATATCTTCCTTCCAGGTGAGTCCAAAACCAAATTGTTCAGCAGCACATGACCATTCCATGAAGCAGTAAGCAGCTACTTCCTTAATGTTCTTGTTTTCAGCTGGATGAGTAACAAGGCACTATAAAATCTGGTACATGTCATGGATGCAGGATATTTTTAGGAAACATTTTAAAGCCTGTTTCCCATTTGGGATGAGCAAAGCAATCCTAAAAAAAGCATTACTCAGTTTCCCAGAAGAGCACTGGAGGTTGTTGCTGTCTTGAGATTCAGTATCTCATGACTGGGCCTCAAAAATAGTTGCGTAATAAGTTATATCATTGCTAGTAACATAGTGCCTGTCACTTCATTATACATCCATTCTCACCATATAACTTGACACCCACATAAGCAGATTACAGTAATTGTGGTTTGCAGCATACCACCTCCACTCTCTCTTTCCTTCAATCTGAGAAGGCATTGTCATATGACTAATAAATACTAGTCCTAGAACAAAATAGACAGAGGCACATAATGCTAACCATTTCAAATCCTGAAAATTAACTACTTTCCCATTCTCTGGGGAGTGGAAGGGCTTGTCTATAGCCAGCCTTCTACTGCCAGGCCACCCCTTCTGGTCTTAACAGCCTGTTATGAGGGTCCTTTGTCAAAGGCATTTTAAAAGCCAATGTGCAAGTTGGCTGCTCCTTGGTTAGTTTCCAGCAGTGATTCCCAAAGGGTGCGTTGCAGCACGTGTGCGCCAATAAACACAACAGAACTGTGCTGTTAAACCTAAATGCCCTGCCCCACCTATTCCACCCTGCCCTGCCCATCCCACCCACAGGTCGCGCTTCTTCACCCCACCCCACCCATGAGTTACCCCTCAGGGGTCACCCTTCCCCCCATCCCCTGGCGGACCCTCAGTCTCCCACTAACCCTCCCATCCTGACTTATGTGATATCAGGCAGCCATTTCAAATTTATTTAACCTCCCCCTAATACCTACTTACCTTTATGCTCAGGTTTTTCAATGCTTTTGTTATTTAAAATTAATCAAAAGCACTTCTTTATTTTTTTATCATTCTTCCTAATACATTTAAAAGGTTTTGTCCTTTATTTAGATAGTCCTAGTGCCTAAATTTTATGGCAAGCATGCCAAAAATGACAGGGACCTAGTGTTCAATTCGAAGACAATTTTGATGTTGTGTCAGTGCTCAGTGCCACAGCCTGGCTCCTGGAGTGGAATTCAGAGCCCTTTGTCTTGTTTGCTACCTAAACTTTCTCTACTGTGAAGAGAGACTTCAAAGCAGAAATGTGCTGCTTGGGAACCCACCCAAGATAGCCAATATGAAATGTTCATGGAAAAAACATTTCAGGAAACCTTTTCAGGAAGTTAGGTACTCAAACACTGGGCACTTTGAGACAGTTAGGCTCCTAAATAATTTCTTCAAAAATAAAGCTGAGTTTTTTAAGAGAAAAAAACAAAGGCAGAAAGAGGAGCAGTACAAATCCATCTCTCTTTTATACATAGCTCAGTACTGAAAACAATCACCCCAGCAGTAAAAAACCTGGGTTCTAGCCCCTCCTCCACCTGAAGGTGGTTCAGAAGGAGTATTTAAGCATGTTATCCAATACATGTTTAACCAATGATGTAGCATAAATGTCCTTGTAATAAAGGACTAGAATCCAAATCTCCCCTAAGGCAAATGCCTTAATCCCAAAAATAAATCTTCAATTCTTTTTGAAAAAGTGGCTCACATCCAACCAGAGAGTTGATGCCTCTGTTCCCATCCCAACTACCTCCAAAAAAAAAAAAAAAAGTCTACAGCTGACTCCTAGAAAGCGATGGGAGTTTACAGCCCCTCCAGTTGAGAAAAGCCTAAAACCCATGTCCCTACATACTGGGTGAGTGCTCTAACAAGTGACTTATTGTACAAGAGCGGGGAGTCACTAGTCCCTTCCCTTCATCTTCCAATTTTGTTTCTAAATAAAAAAGTGGCCATGTTTTCTGTGTAAAATACATATCTGAATAAATTAACCATCCAGGGAGCATGCCTAGCAGATTGGGCTTTGAGAGGCTTAGGTACAGGACTTAGGTGCAAGTCCTAGTTTGAAGACACTAGTCAGGTCCATGTATGAGTAAGGAGCCAGGTATAACTTTGCTCCTCTCCCTCCACCCCTCCAAAAAAAGAGTCCTGGAGTTCTGGGAGTACAACAAAGCAGAGCATTAGGTATGTAAGGAACTTGAAAGAATGAAGGAGTCTATATTTTTTACCGTGAGGTACCTACAAGATTAGGATCATGCTCCTGGCCTTAAGCATGTAAATTCTTCCTAACTCCCTCTTTGCACACCTGACTGCTTTTGTGAATCTCAACTCTAGTTCCTAGGAAGTGGAGTACCTTCCAATGTCCCAGTGAAAATCAGTTTAAATAAACAGAACTAGCAAGGCTTGAAAAACAGAAGAAATCAAAAGAACTGGTCATCTCACCTTCCAAAGAAATACAAACCAGGCTGTAACACACATATCACATTTAGCTTCATATTTTAAAAATCCCATGAAGTGAGGTAGTTTCTACTAACTGCAGATTTCCACACATTTGTTACATTCCCAACTAAGTATGCATACCCTGAACATTTTACTTACTTAAACCTAGCTATAATAATCATATCATGTTTTACATTTTTAAAACAAAAATGATAGAAAAAAATATTGCAACTAAAGAGCAGAACACACATACCAATGCTAATTTCATCATCAGTTTCAGCATCTCCAATACACTCAAACTGAAAATCTTGAAGAGACTGGGAAAATTTTTGTACTGCCATGGATAAATCTACAATAAAAAAAAACACACAAACAAGATGTTAAATTATTTGGAATAACTATATCAAAGAGTGTGCAAATTTTTACATACCTATTTCATTTACAAGATATCCTAGTATCCTTTTTGAAAAGTAATCTCACACAAAATAAAAGCAGAATGCTGACCAGTCAGACCAGCTCCAAAAGCTAATGAAAAAAATATATTAAACTCCTGATCCCAAGCACAATAAAGAGAACTGCATTCACGCTGACAAACAAATATCAGTTCTCTTAAATTCCTTAAAGAGAAGAAATTGATATGGGGTCTGAAGGTTTACGCTGGCAGCAGCACAATGTAAGCAAGCAAGGATATGTACATAAGGGCCGCAGAACTGGACTCAATCAGTTCTAGGGGTAGTATCTTAATATATTTCTTCCAGACCTCGGTCTCTATAGAATACACAATTAACATAGAATATTCTGGAGATTTTTTTTTTAAATAAGGAAATGAAATATGTATGTTTTGAGCCATTTGCCACTCAACTAAAAAGCCCACAAATAAAGAACATCGTTTTTGAGCCTCACACACAGATCTTCAGTTTCAATTAAGTTAAAACTTGACAGCAAAACGTTTGATCTTAACAGTAGGCACGTTCTAGTACAAAGTATTCATAAATATGAATGACCAAAACACTCTCAAAAATTCTTTCAGAAAAATACACGGTGAGCACACCTATATTAAAACAAGATGAATCACAGTTGTGTCAGTCTAGACAAAATGCTGCATAATGATTATTCTCTATAGTCCCTGGAATATGTTAGGAGTATCAATGTGGAAGCTAAAAAATGAGGAGAAAATATAGATTCATATCTGAAAAACCTAGAAAAAAAGCTTCAGTATGGACAGGAAATTAGCCAAAACCTATATGACCATTTTTCCCAAAGCATCACTGGTGCATTTAAATCTGATTACAAAGCCCCAGAGAGTTTTATGCTTCTAAAATTACATGCATTTATTAAGTGCGTACAAGGAGCTCCTTATTGTATAGCATGTGAAATACAAACAGATCTTCTCCTGAACAAATCTAGAATATAAAAGCATGGATAATATTGGTATGGGATCTCAAATTTTCCCCATACCTCAGTTAATTTTGAGGCTGAAATATGCAGAATGTATCACTATGTTCAGTGAAAATGGTGGGCACAAAGTTTTAGACAGTTACAAACCAGGAACAAACAATGCCCTACCAGGACGCTGCCCCCTATTCATGCTCTGTATCTACTTCTTTCTTACTAGCCTGTGGCTATCAGGCATCAAATTAATGAAATGACACCCGTTATCTCAACCTCCCATTATTCATTAGCTTTTACTTGAAGCATTGTTGTGCAGCAGTCCAAAAAAGAATTAAGACTCTTTAGTATTTTGTTTATCCGCAAAAGTACTTTTTGGTAAATAAGGGAGAAAAGAGTTTGGAGACTAACCAATCTTTCATTTGGATAATATTTTTTCCCTATTGGCAAGTCATTTACTCTCCTAGGAGAATTTGGTTTAAAAACAAAAACAAAAATCCCCCCAAAACTACAAAAGTTTTTAAATAAGCATCTGTCCTGATCCTTTAACATTTTTCAAAACATGGGAACTGAAGTTGCTATGAAGTAAGACAAGCCAATAAATCAGAATTATCAACCAGTATGTATACTCTTTAAAACCAAAATTTGGAAAAGCAAATTTTTTGAAACTTTTATCTTTTTGTACCTATAGTCCAACTATAAGGGTTTTTTTACCATTATTTATATCCAGCAGAAAACACCACTGTTTGCATTTCCTTTCAATGAACATAAGCAACCTAAGAAAAAGTTTTCCCAGATGTGAAGTCTCGTAATCTCTTATACATTCAGCTTCATCTTCTTTGACTGACTCTCCACCATAACACACTGGCATTTGTAGCTTCAAGAGTACAAATTGAATTACTGTTACTAACAACAGAGGCTCATCTAGTAGTCCCCAGATATTTTGAGCTACTGTGCTATCTTCATAATGTTCTGTGCAACGTATGTTTTCTATTAAGAAAGGCAGAGTTAAATATACACTTGTGAATGTGCTGTACACTTAGCGAATGTGTCTTATTCTTAGGTGTATGGAATTTATCTAGCATTAGTAATGTATTATTTTAACAACTTAGATGTTCTGCTTTGTATACCTGAAAGTAGAGCTTTTGTAGTGGAAGAAGCTAAAAAAAATCTGCGTAAAAGCTGAATCATATTACCCTTTGGTGTCATCTTCTAAACTCTTTGCTGTATAATATTAGGAGTCAACTGTACTGTGGCTAGTAAGAGCAAAATCACAGTGGGAGTGTGGTCATGGAAGAGCAAGGGACAAGAAAAATTACTGGCTTCTTTTTAAGCCCTCTATAAAAGAGTTACATGCAAGCAAACAGCATAACCTCTTATGAAGCTTAATGTTTCAAATGGCCTTGTCACACGGGACACTTAGTATGTGTTAATCTGTGCAGCATTAAAAGTTAGAAAGTGCCCTGACCGGTCTCACAGTAATGTTTACTATGTGCATGTTTGAGGTCAGCTTGTTGATTGTCAGCCCCAGGCCCCACACTGCACAGGAGTCTTGAACCAGCTCCAGCGCAGTGCCGGGTAAGGGACGACCAACAATCAGCCAACTGCTGGTCCAACCCCAGGATCCTCTGGCACTGCAAGCAGCTGTCTTACAGCTTGATCTTGGAGAAGCCTGACAAGTGAAAGATCCAGGATCCTTCCTCCAGACATGTGTGGCTTTCCTCATTCAACCTGGAGGCTTGGTACATCAGAGTGGGCTCTGGCTGATTTCATGGTTGGGCAAGGACCACAAATTGCTCATGTGATCTCTGTAGAGCAGTCCATTGGTAGATGAACATGTATTTCTTAACGTGATCTGGAGATACTCCTCACACAAGAAGTCATAACTTTGCTACAATATGAGCATGCTTAGCATGTGTTTTACTGCTTGAATGCACAGTTGCTCATGTTTTAAGTGCATTTAACATATTCTAAGTATAACATGAGACATGGCCCAAAAGGAACAAGGTTCTAAAAAGACATAACTATATGAATAAAGTATGTACGTAACAATCAATTGCCATTGCAAAGAGAACAATTATACTAAATCTCTGACTTGGGCATTAACTCACTGCTTGAATTGTATCTAAATTTGGGACCAACTTGTGGCCAGCTGTGTGGGTGTACCAGGGAGGGAAAAGGTGTGTATAATGTCCCCCACCCTTCTTTCCCCAACAGAGCCATAGGCAACAGGTAACTCCCATGTAAATTAAAAGAAGATTAGTAGTAAAGTACAAAATGGGCACCGCTCTACACTAAATCCTGGTTTAGGTACAGCCACACAATAATTGTTGTTTCAATGTCTCAGCCCATCTGAATTCAAAATGAATGACTGTGAGAAAGGGATAGGCAAAGGAGAAAGAAAAAGCTGAAAGATCAAAGCCATTGCTTTCCTAGGAATTCAAGAAGATGATGTTTCTATCAGCAACTTACCTTTTAAAAGACATTTACAGTCTGGAGACCAAGACTGCTGCTATAGCTGGAGCAACGGGGGAAGTGACACCTGGATAAGGGGGCTGGGGGCAAAAATTAACTTGTTGCAGGCCACATGCAGCCTACAGGTCACCAGCTGCACAACCCTGAGAGAAAAGCACTGAAAGAAAATCATGCCTGAATTTGGTTTGCTAAACTAATAAATCAATTTAACACATAAATGAAATACTGACTACAGAAATACTTTGTTTCTGTTCTGCAGAAAAGCTTTTGCCATGCAGTAATTGCACTGGTTCCAGATCAGCAAATGGGCAGGGAGATTATTTTTTACCTGACTAGTGCAAAGTTCAGAAACTGACTAGGAATTGAAAAAGCAGAAGAGATGCATTTTATTCATAGATTAGAAAAGGAAATACATTTTTAAAAGGATGATATCTACCAATTCAAAATCCTAAGGGACATAATGCTAAATTTTCAAAGATATTTAAGCACTTATGCTACATACAGGCATTCAAGAAGCCAGCAGCAGAAGGGTTCTATTTTTGAGCTTTACTCTAAGTGCCCCACTTAGGTCTGAAAGAGGCAGAACACACTTTGGCCCAGAGGAGGGAAAAATATGGCCTGTGGGCCAGATCCGACCCATGGGAGGCAACCACCAATTGATTTGATCAGGCCCGCAGCTGCCCCACAGTACTCTGCAGGGGGCCAAGCCCTGCCTACAGCAGCCAGCACTGTGGTCCTGCCCTGTCACAAAAATGGTTTCAAATCCTTATATGGTGATGGCTACCTGCTAGTTTAACTATAATTTAACCCACAGATTTTCTTTGATAAATGTGCTAATGTATGTTTGTTGCCTATAAATT